TTCGAGGAATGCAGGTGCTGAATCTAGTTCGCGACTTCGAGATGCAGAAGATGAAGAATGATGAATCTATTAAGGAGTATTCTGAGAGGCTTCTTAGTATAGCAAGCCGGATCAGATTGCTGGGCTCTTCTTTTCTAGAGTCAAGAATTGTTGAAAAGATCCTTGTAACCGTTCCTGAAAAATTTGAGGCCACAATTACATCCTTAGAGAATACTAAGGATATGTCAAGCATCACTCTTGCTGAATTGTTGAATGCTTTGCAAGCACAAGAGCAAAGAAGAGCCATGAGGCAAGAAGGTGTCATTGAAGGAGCTCTACCTGCAAAATATCATGAAGCTGGTAAAAATAAGAAAGTGCAAGAAGGTAATTCTGGTTCTTTTTCTTCAAGTAGCAGGAATGGAAATTCCAAGGGGAAATATCCTCCTTGTCACCATTGTGGGAAGAAAGGTCACCCTCCTTTCAAATGTTGGAGGAGGCCAGATGCAAAATGCTCCAAATGCAGCCAATTTGGGCATGAGGCAGTGGTATGCAGAAATAAGAATCAAATGCAGGAGGCAGATGCTCAAGTTGTTGACGAAGAAGAGGAGGATCAACTGTTCGTAGCCACTTGTTTCTCCAGCAATGAATCTAGTGAGAGCTGGCTGATTGACAGTGGGTGTACAAACCACATGACTCATGATCGAAGTCTTTTCAAGGAGTTAAAACCCACACCAATCACAAAAGTCAGAATCGGTAATGGTGACCACATTTTGGTAAAGGGAATAGGAACTGTTTCTATCCTAACAAATTCAGGTACAAAGTCAATCTCAGATGTTCTTTTTGTACCTGATATTGATCAAAATTTGTTAAGTGTTGGACAGCTCATTGAAAAAGGATTCAAAGTGTTTTTCGAAGATAGAGTTTGTCTCATTCAAGATGCAAATGGAAAGGAAATCATCAAAGCAAAAATGAGAGGCAAGAGTTTCTCATTTGAACCAGTCAAGGAGGAGCAAGCTGCTGTTTCCACAGATGAGAATGTGACTGAGACTTGGCACAAGAGACTAGGCCATTGTCACCTCTCAAATATGTTGTTGATGAAGAAGAAGGAGTTGTCAAATGATTTACCAACCTTTGCAGATCATTTACCATATTGTAATGCCTGTCAATTTGGCAAACAAAAAAGAAATCCATTTCCCAAGTCAAGTTGGAGAGCCTCCAATAAGCTGCAGTTGATCCACTCAGATGTTGCTGGTCCTCAAAGAACTCAATCACTTGCAGATAGTCGTTACTATGTTATTTTCATAGATGATTTTAGCAGAATGTGTTGGATTTTTTTCATGAAGCATAAATCAGAAGTGGCTAGCCTGTTTTGGAAGTTCAAGAAAACGGTGGAGAACCAGAGTGGTTGTAGCATTCAATGCATTAGGACTGACAATGGAAAGGAGTATACTTCAGAACAATTTAATATTTTTTGTGAAGAATCTGGCATTGAACACCAACTCACTGCTCCATACACTCCGCAACAAAATGGAGTAAGTGAGCGAAGAAACAGGTACATAATGGAAATGACTCGATGTATGCTTCACGAAAAAGAGTTGCCAAAGAATTTCTGGGCTGAAGCAGCAAGCACTGCTGTCTTCTTGCAAAATAGGCTGCCTACAAAGGCATTGGAGGACAAAACTCCATTTGAGGCATGGTATGGCTATAAACCCTCACTCAATTTTCTTAGAGTGTTCGGTTGTATGTGTTTCTCTCATATTCCACAGGTAAAGCGTGATAAGCTTGACCAAAAGTCAGAACCAGGAATCTTTGTTGGCTATAGCTCTTCCTCCAAAGCCTACAAAGTGTATCAACCTCAAACTGGAAAGATACTTATTAGTAGGGATGTTTATTTTCATGAAGAAGAGAAGTGGAACTGGACACAAGCACAAGAGGCATCCATGAGTAAGCAGAAATCAAGTCCTCTCATCCAAATAAGCAAAGAGCAAGGAGTGGAACAGTGGCAAGAAGAGTTAGAAGATGACCCACCAATTCGTGGAACAAGGTTGTTGTCCAATATTTATCAAAGATGCAATGTAGCCATTTGTGAACCTGCAGGATATAAAGAAGCTATTCAAGACCAGAATTGGAAGAAGGCAATGGAAGAAGAGTTGTTAATGATAAAAAAAAATAATACTTGGGAGCTTGTTGACAAACCAAAGGATAGAGCAGTTATTGGAGTAAAATGGGTGTTTAGAACCAAGTTAAATGCAGATGGCTCCATCAACAAGTACAAGGCTAGACTTGTAGTCAAAGGATATGCACAAATTTTTGGTGTTGATTATTCTGAAACCTTTGCACCTGTGGCTAGAATGGACACTATTCGACTCTCGCTAGCTGTTGCTGCTCAAAAAGGCTGGAAAGTATTTCAACTAGATGTAAAATCTGCATTCTTGAATGGTATTTTGCAGGAGGAGATTTATGTTGAACAGCCCGAAGGATTTGTGAAAGAAGGTGAGGACGAGAAGGTCTACCTGCTCAAGAAAGCTCTATATGGCTTGAAACAAGCACCTAGAGCATGGTACAGCAAGATAGATGAGCATCTATCAAGCTTAGGATTCAAGAAAAGCACTTCAGAAGCTACTCTGTATATAAAGCACGAAGATGATGATCTACTTATAGTCTCTCTTTATGTTGATGATCTCTTAATCACAGGTGGCAATGACAAGCTTGTTGAAAAGTTCAAAAGAGAAATGATGCAGATTTTTGAAATGACAGACCTTGGACTCATGACATACTTTTTGGGAATGGAGATTAAGCAGTCAGAAGATGAAGTTTTCATATGTCAAAAGAAGTATGCCAAGGAAATTCTCAAGAAATTTCATTTGGAGGATTGCAAGGCAATGACCACTCAAATGAATCAAAAGGAGAGCTTGAGCAAGAATGATGGAGCTGACAGAGTTGAAGAAGGCTACTTTCGAAGTCTGATTGGTTGTCTAATGTACCTCACAGTATCAAGACCAGACATTTTATTTTCTGTAAGTCTTTTATCTCGTTTTATGCATTGTGCTACTGAGATGCATTTAAGAGCAGCAAAAAGAGTAGTGAGATACATCAAAGGAACGATTGATTTTGGTGTGAAATTTAAGAAAAGTCAAGACTTTAAGCTCTTGGGATTTTCTGACAGTGATTGGGGAGGTTCTGTGGATGATATGAAAAGTACCTCTGGTTATTGTTTTAGTCTTGGCTCAGGAATTTTCTCATGGTGCTCTAAAAAGCAGGATGTTGTAGCACAGTCCACAGCAGAAGCGGAATTCATAGCTGCTACGGCAACAGCTAATCAAGCAATTTGGTTAAGAAAATTTTTATGTGATTTACACCTGAAGCAATGGAACAATACTGAAGTTCATATTGATAACCAAGCAGCAATTGCCATTTCTAACAATCCAGTTTTTCATGGGAAAACCAAACATTTTAAGATCAAGTTTTTCTTCTTAAGGGAAGTTCAGAAAGAAGGTGAAATCGTACTTGTCTACTGCAAGTCAGAAGACCAATGGGCAGACATATTCACAAAACCATTACCTACAAGCAAATTTGAAGATCTAAGGGAGAAGATTGGTGTTTGCAGCTCCAAAAGCAAGGAGGAGTGTTAGAGATCATGCTTTAGAAACTGCAATTTGATATTTTTAATTATTTAGGAGTCAGTTTTCATTATGTTTTAATGAGTTGTTATGTAGTGGGCAGTTTACTTTTTTGCTTTAATGGGTAGTTATATAGTGAGCAGTTTTCTTTTCTACTTTGATGAGAAGTTATGTAGTAGTGAGCAGTTTCTTTTTATTATTTTGCTTTATAAGTTGTATTGTCACACATCAATAAAATGTACTTCATTTCTAAAACCAACATCTATAAATAGAGAACCCTTTTGTACATATGATTTACAATTTTATAATATATTAGAATACCCTTTTTCAAGTAGATGCTATCTACTGTTATATCATGTCTCTAGGAGATTCAATAATTTGGAACTTTCTTGCTGCATTATTACTAGAAAGGATTTGCTTTACCCGATAAAAAAATGTTTTAAATGTGGTTTGAGAGATGACCGTAGACAAAGGCATTAGGTGGTACGTTTGTTTGAGAGTACAAAAAGTATGTTGATTGCTGACTACATGTTGGTTTCATTTTTATTTTGTAGTAGGAATTTATTTGTTGATCTGGTATCTAATAGTGTTAGGAACCATAAATGGGTTCTGAGTTTTCACAAAGAGAGATGAGAAAAACAGAGAAAGGAAATGGAGAAGAAAATTTTGGTAGTGTTTTTTTCAATTACAAACAAAGAATGTAAAGAGAGAATTGTCCTTCAGTGGGTTTCCCTTTCACAAAGGGTTGCCCCTTTTACAACAGAGCTTTTGTTCACTTTATCAATCTAAATTCCCAATTGCTTCCCTTAGTCCTTAATAGATTAAGCCCATGCATATATATTTTTGAGAGGTTCTAATAGTAACTAGCTAATCACACATCCCGCCATCTAACTATGATCCTGTTCCCTTTAATTTTTTTGGGGGTCCTATTATATTGCATATGAAAAACAATTTGCCGGATGAAGTATCTTGTTTGTGCATTTTTTGTGTTGCATTCTGATTTGATGTAATTTAGTCACTCTTGAAGATCTGTCAAGTGTTTGCTCATGTGCTATTATATTTAATTGAGTTTTGGACGAATGAAAGAAACAAACAGAATTCAAATAGTAAATCACGGGACACTGGCAGACATATTCTTCTTCTTAATTTCAATTTTGAATAGTTGTTATCCATCAAGATCGGGGGTTCATTCATGTTTGAAACTCAGTTCACAACTTCATTTTGATCCTTGTGCTGATTACAATTTCCCGCATAATTTCTCCATGCTAAGTCAGATTTTAAAGAATTAAAATATATAATATGGTTCTTTTTGCTAGTTTTTGTTTATTTATAGATGACATAAATTTGCTAGATTGTTTCTTTTATTTAGCAATTTTAATATGATTCCTTGTGCATAACCAGAGCGGAATCTTTTGATCATGGTCATATGGCTGAGGCGCTTGAAGCCGGAGGATTCCTTCCTATCAGAAAGTCCCATGATGCTGCTGTTGGTGCTCTTGTACATATGCTGAAGAAAGCACCGCCTCTCCGTCAAGATTTCTCCACTTCAGAACACCTGCCACAAGGCTCACTCTCTAAAACTTGGAAAAATAACATTCAAGAGCCAAATCAGATCCTAGAGGCACCAATTCCAGAGAGCACAATGTCTTCAGGGATCATAACAACTAGGAAAACAACCACTGATGCATTGGAAGAGTTCCATGGTTACAGAGAGATGAAAAACGTGTTGCTTTTGCGAGGTAGTAAGCCCCCCATATAGTACATACTACATAGTAAGCTTACGCTTCTGCCGATGACTTCTATGCTGATGTTAAATCAGTAAAACATATGTACATCTTTTTTTTCCTTGATAAATCAGTCATCTGTTTTTGGTTTTGAAAATATGTATAAATATAATGATCAAGTCTTAGACTGTTGAATTTTTTATTTAATTATTAGTTCCGACTTCTGAGCTGTCTGGCATGGTACAGCCTTATATTGTGTATAATACATGAAACTTCTAATAGTCACTCATTGTATATAACAAGGCAGGAGCTTTATTTACCGGCAGGAGCTTCATTTACTGGTTTTAGATTCATTAACCCTTTATCTTTCATGGATTTGTTTGCTTGTTTTGGTGCTGTTTAATAAGTACTCTTAAAGTGGAAGGAATTTAGATTTTTATATTATGTAGAGAGCAAAAGATCATTGTTTAGGACTTTTAGGTAATTAGGAAATTAAAGGTTAAGATATGATAGTGATATTGGTGGTAACATTATTTGATAGTGATAAGATCCATATAGAGAGAGATTTTTTGACTACATAGTAAAATTTAGAAGTCTTATTCTCCATCTTAATCGTTGATTTACGTCTATCTAACAGTTATAGTTTATTGAGTCATACTAATTAATGAATTATTAATTTCAAATAAATTACCGTCGTTAAAAAGACGAAAATCAACGGTTAAGATGAGAAGTAAGACTTCTAAATCCCTCCCATAAATATATATAGGGATTTATATTTATACAGCCGCTGTACGTGCAACAGTCAAATACTTGTTGTATATATATGTGAAAGTATTAAATGTGGGGAATCATAACCATACACCTGTCATTGTTGTACGTAAAACGGCTGTAGAAATAATTTTACTATGTATATGGTACACCAAATCATGTTAAAGGAGATAAGTTATCTCATGTCATAGAGACAAATATGTGGGCCCCACTATTTGTAAAAATAAAAATAAAATTAAAAAACTCATGGGACCCACCTTTTTATTAGTGTAGGAGATAGAACATTGTCTCCTTTAACATAAGAAAATATTTTCCATATATATATATGAGAACAGATTCACTTACCACCAAAAAAGTTTACAACTCTTACAACCAATTTAATCACCATTGATTTCCGTCAATCTAACGGTTATAATTTATTAAAAATTAATAACATTTATTGTGTCGCATTTATTAATTCTCAATAAATTATAACCGTTAGATTGACGGAAATCAACAGTGATTAAATTGGTTGTAAGAGTTGTAAATATTTTTGGTGGTAAGTGGATCCTCTCCCTATATATATATATATATATATATATATATATATATATATATATATATAGGGTTTGATGTTTGTCATTTTAAATGATATAAGTTATGTATGAAAATCACGGGGAGAAAGTAGGTGTTTTTTTTTTAATTTAAATTTTAAATAATTTTTTTTATTTTGTGTCTATCTCTCTCTTAAAATGACATAAATTTATGTCATTTAAAATGACAAACACTTTTTCCATATATTTATAGGGGAATGATCCGTTTACAAATTACACTACACATTAAATATAGAGAATCATGACCATACAAAGGTGGAATTAAATATAACCGTTGGATCAACATAATCGATCTAATGGTGAAATTGATTGGTAGTAACACTAATTGATTGTTATTTGTTACAATATCATACCCCTAACCAACAAAGCCTAGCACAGTTGGTAGATAGCTGGGCTCCTTAAGCATGCTGACAGGAGTTCGATTCCTGGTCGTGTGTATGGAGAAGGCTTTGTTGGGAGAGGTTTACCCACTTAATGTGATCTCCCGCCTCGAAAGAATTAGTCTTCGGCTGTCGACTGTCGGATACCTTGGGAAACAAAAAAAAATAAAAATAAAATAAAAAATATATATTCTACCCCTATATATATATAACAACATGTTAATTCATTTTCTTTGTTCGAGCAATTTCAAATGACAAATTACATAACATCAGCATTTCATGTCCAGGTGACAATGGAAACGAATGATGATAATAATAACAATAAACAATAAATAGATAATTCGTTTAACCCTAATGTTTAATTGTGTTTAACTCAACTTGGAGGTAACTTATAGAAAATTAAGAAGAAAATGATTTTAGAATAAGCCACGAGAAGTTATTGGACTTTTTTTTATTTTTTATTGATTTTTTTAATAAAATCAATCGAATCTTGATAATTTTTTCATTATTTTTTAAAGTAATTCTTACACCTTTTGAATGTGAAACTAATTATTTTTTTGTACAAAAGCCATGAAAATCTTTATAATCGGGAATGTAAGAAATCATAATGTATAAAAAAAGTAAGAAATTACAACAATGGATCTGATGTTACATTTTAACCTGAGATCTCAAGACAATAAATCTATGGATCTTCTTATATATAAGATTTTTTCAATTATATAACCTAATTCTAACACATATACTTGAACTCTCAACCGTACCATATTAGTAAATTGATAGTCATGAATTTGTTTATCAGCAATTTTTTCACAATCTTTGAGTGATTCAACCTGTTCTAGGGCCTAAAATAAAAATTTACGTATTTTTTAGGACAAAAGTGTAAATTAATATTTTATCTGATATAAAGTGGTTAATTTGACAGATATTAAGATAAGATCAAACATAAAGAAAAGGGCATAAAAATCGTAAAAAAGAAGTGATATATTCAAAAGTGGTCTCACCAAAAAAATTACTCAAATATGGTCTTGGCACGTCTGGGGTAGGTGTGCTTGATGATGCAATTTGTGGAACTACTAAAAAAATTGATGATCGGTGAGAAACAAGCATGAATCTTGAAAAAGTTATGAATTTAACTTTTGTGGGACTTAAAGATGGAATCCTCCTCCCCTCCTCTCTTAATATGTATAATGCCTCTCATCGATTAATTTGCATTGAGAGATTATTAAACATAAACTTCTCCTTAAAATAATCTTAAGGTATTGGGTGAGTATATATTAATTATTTTATATCTCTCTAACACACTCTTCACACAATAGTCCTTTGGGCTTAAAATGTGGATATGACATAAGCTCATTTTTTTGTTTGCTTTGTGCTTTTTTTAATTCCAGCTGAAAGTTAAGGGCAGTGACCATCGAACTCATGACCTCCTGGTTACTCCAGCTCTGGTACTTGTTATTTCAACCCAATACCTTAATACATTAATTGAGTGAGGATTTATTAATTATTTTGTATATTTTATATCTCTCTAACATTTTTTTGTATGAAAGCCATGAAAATCTTTATAATCGGGCAAGTAAGATATCATAATGCATAAAAACAGTAAGAAATTACAACAATGGATCTGATATTGTTACATTTTAACCTGAGATCTCAAGACAATAAATCTATGGAGCTTCTTATGTATAAGGTTTTTTCAATTATATAACCTAATTCTAACACATATATATACTTGAACTCTCAACCCTACCATATTAGTAAATTGATTGTCATGAATTTGTTTATCAGTAAAAAAATTTACAATCTTTGTGTGATTCAACCTTTTCTAGGTTCTAAAATAAAAGTTTACGTATTTTTTAGGACAAAAGTGTAAATTAATATTTTATCTGATCTAAAGTGGTTTCTTTGATAGATATTAAGATAAGATCAAATATAAAAAAAGGGCATAAAAATCGTAAAAAAAAAGTGATATATTCAAGAGAAATGTTTTTCTTATGTTGTTGGAGATAGTTATTTTATGTTAGTGAAACAAAATTATAAAGGTGAGATCCATCTTTGTTATGTGTGTGTAGAAATTTTATTTATCTTATGTTAAATGAGATAAATATGAAGGTGGTCTCGCCAAAAAAAAATTACTCAAATATGGTCTTGGCACGTCTGGGGTAGGTGTGCTTGATGATGAAAGTTGTGCAACTAATAAAAAAATTGATGGTTGGTGAGAAACAAGCATGAATCTTGAAAAAGTTATAAATTTAACTTTTCTGGGACTTAAAGATGGAATCCTTTTTTTTTTTCTTCTTAATATGTATAATGCCTCTCATGAACTAGTTTTTAAGTATTTCACCTAAGAAGCCTTCAGCAATCGAAAATATTCAAGAATTTACGATACCCAAATGTTAGGAAGGTGCATGATGACAATCACATGCAAGGCGAAATGTTTTGAAAGTACAACTACTACCCCATTCCTTTGGCTTGGTTCTATATATTATTTGTATGTTAAGAAAGATCATTGGTAAGGGTTGGGGACCAATAAAGCGGCCAACAACCATAACCTGCAAAACGTCTTTGTAATATTTTGTTCTTAGTAGGCTACTAGGCTATTAAGGACACTAATAATGTAACTTGTTTCTATCTTATTCCAGAAATGGCGCTATCATTGATGTATCACTGACCATTAATATCTATTTTAAGAATACAAAACAGCTTTCGAAAGAAAATGGTCCCACTAAAGTTATAGTTGCAAAATGTCATATTCAATGCATAAAGTTACTGAAAAATATAATCATGCAGAGATATTTTTGTAGCAAAGACGTTACTATTGATCTGTGGTTAGGAATTTGAGTATATTATATTAGGTTATATATTCGGTTCTTACTCGTATAAAAAAGATATATTTTTGTAGCTTAACGACACAAATTAATCTCTTAAGGTTTGACGGAAGTATATAGAAGGAATTGTATTTAAAAATTGTTAAATAATTTTGTAATTTATTATTTTTGATTTATACCGTCTGTTTTACTGTATATTTTTATAAGAGTATCGTTCCTTTGTCCAACGAAATTTACCAGGTTTTTATCACATGATAATTAACTTGGTATCGCTAATGGAACTAGAAGAACTTAAAAGATGGATGTATTGAATTTTTTTTTTTTCCCAATAAGGTTAATTCACAATAAGTTTGAAAAATTAGTATATTTTGACTTTTGTACACAATATTTTTTTTTTTGAAAATATTTCAATCGGTTCATTGCTTCGCAACTAATTCGATTCGGACGGGTTCAGGATTAAGGCTTCTCATCTCCCCACCTGCTTAACTCTCATGCGCCAACTGAGCTACCACTATTTGGTATTTTTGTACACAATATTTAATCTAGAAGCTTTTCACTCATATAACACATACCTTTTTTTGTATATTAATACTTTTTAAATACAATTTTACATATGACTTCTCCACGCAACCCAAAAATACATCTGTACATGTTTAACATTAATATTTTATGTCACATATCTAATAGCGATAACATTTAGTATAAGAATAACATATGATGGGAAAAATGCAAATTGGCAGGGCTGGACAAAATATACACATTTGGGAGTATT